CCAGACCCGCCGTTAACACCAAGGACGCCCCGCCCCCACGCAAGTCCCGCCCCTGCGCCAACCTACATACTCCGTTAACGCCAAGAAGGCCCTGCCCCCACGCAAGTCCCGCCCCTGCGCCAACCTACATACCCCGTTAACGCCAGTGAGGCCCCGCCCCCACGCCAGTCCCGCCCCTGCGCGAACCTACATAGCCCGTTAATGCCAAGGAGGCCCCGCCCCATTGGCCGGCCCCCGCAGGCCCCGCCCCCTGCCAGCGCGTGGAGGCCCCGCCCCGTCGCGCGCCCGCGAGGCCAGGCTCCGCCTTCCGCCCCTGACCCCGGACCGCTCGCAGGGCCGGGACCAGAACCACCACCGCGCGTCCCGCCGACTCCGGCCTCCACCACCCGAGCCCAAGCGACATGGCTGCGCCGGCCAAGGCCGAGAACCTGTCCCTGGTGGTGCACGGCCCCGGGGACCTTCGCCTGGTAAAGGACGCGGGGGCGCCGCGGGGTGCGGCGGGCGGGGCGGCGGCCGCGGTGTCGCCGCCGGGTGGGCTCGGTGCCCCCGGCTCTGGCACGCGGCCGCGCCGTGACCGTTGCCGACGTTGCCCACGGATCGGAGCCTCCCGCGCTGCAGTCTCCGGATGCAGCCCTGGGCGGACAGAGGCTCCCGATGGTTGGGACCCGAGGGTCCCCGCGCCCAGTGCCCGCTCGGGCTTCTCTCGCATCTCCCTTCGCCTACATCAGGCTCCTCTCCCAGGCTTGTACTCTGTACTGTCTGCCTTGACTTTAGGAATTTCTGCTTCTCTCTCTCCACCTTAGACCCAGCTTCTGCCCCTGGCTGCAGAGACCAAAGTTCAGGGAGCTGCTGAGTCAGCGCTGTGCACAGTCCAGCGTCCCCGTGACAAAGCCTATCTCTGATGGGCCTGCGGTGGCATTCACCGTGTGGGACGGGTACTGGGTACCTCCTTCCCCTGTAAAGAACATGCACCAGCTGCTCAAGAGGCCGAAGCAGAAGGGTCAAAAGATTGAGACCAGCCCGGGCAATTCAGTGACACCCTGGGACTGTAGTTCAGTCTCTGGGGGCCATCTCCGGTGTTGCCCAACACAACAAAACAAAAGCAAACAAACATGCTCCAAGATCTGCATTGTAGAGAGTCAGATTATGCAGGTTAACAGTTCCTGACTGGTTAAGAATCTGTGGCTCACGGGGCATGGCAGTGCACGCCTGTAATCCCAGCACTCCGGAGGCTGAGGCAGGAGGATCATTGCAAGTTTGAGACCAGCCCAGGCTACAAAGTGAGCTCAGGGCCAGCCTGAGCTGCATAGTGAGACCCTGTCTCAAAAAGACAAAAAAAAAAAAAAAAAAATCTGTGGCTGTCTTTCCACAGAGTGGGAACAGACTGAGTTTGACAGCAACCTCCTTTCATTTCCTCTGTGGGCCCCAGACCAAGAACTCTTGCCCAGAACCAACTCCAGTTCCTAAGCTGAAGAGCGTCAGGTGCCCAGCAGGACAGACTCGGTCACCTAACAGAGCCGGGACAGGACCTCGGAGTGCAGACTCCTGTGCTAGCACCGGTTCCACTGGCTCTGGGGACTCCCCCAGGTCCTGAAGGAAAGTGACACTGTCTACTGCAATACGTGGCAGACGAACCCACCAGAAAGGGCGAGGGTGACCTCTCTCCACAGCGTACAGAGCACTTTACAAGTTGCTTCATTTTATTTCCAGCTTGCTTCATTTTACAAACATTTACTGAAGGAGCTGTACCTGCCCTGTGCTCAGCAAGGGGGGCACACAGCCCGGGCTCACTCCCAAGGGAGATGGGAGTAAACAGTTACAGCCTGCCAGGGCTTTGATGCCAGCCGAAAAGATGGGCTAGGGGTGGCTTCTCCTAAACTCACCCTCCACCCTGGAGGGCAGACTCCAGCCGGTGTTTCCATGGAGACAGCCCCAAGAGGGGCCATAAGGGCCACCAGCAGAGGCTCATGCTGCCTCGGGCCACTGTGACCTAGCACAGACCTGGGCCCTTGCAGACCTTCTCAGGTGGGGTCTCCCCTTTCCAGCGGACTCCGCGGAGGTACCCCACCAGGTTCCCTAGTGAGGTATCTCTGCCCCTCAAATCCGCTGAACTTGAACTCACTGCGTAGTCCAGGCTGGCCTCCTCATGGTGATCCTCCTGCCTCAGCCTCCTGAGTGCTGGGATTACAGGTGTGTGCTATCTCGCCCGTCTTGACCCTCTTCCTTAAGGTAGATGGGCTTGTAGTCAGTTGGAGATAGCAACAGGGAGGAACAGTCCCAGGAAAGTTTTGGGGAGAGAGAAATGAATCCCACATTTGCTGAGCCAAATAGACAAAGTCAGCAGTGGTAGCTGCAGAACCCTAGGCCAGGCTGGACGTGAATTTCAGAGGAGATTCAGGGCAGGCGGAGAACTGGAACGTTTTCCCTTCTGAGAGGAGCCCAGCAGCCCACAGGAGTTGACCCTCATGCCCTCCTGGGTGGTGCAGGGCAGGGTCCAGGGTTCCTGGACCCTTCCCGTGCTGTGGCCTTGCTGCCGGCCACACCTGGCATCCATGGCAAATGCAAGGTGCCATGTGGCTCTAGTGCGGGAGGACACCCAGCCCCAGCCCCGCCAGCTCACCCGAGGAGAGCAAACCTCCAGCTCTTCCTGCGTAGGCAGTGGTCATCTCGCCCACCACAGGGGACAGAGCCTTAGGGTGCTGAGTGGACGGGGTGCCCGGCACGTGGACACACTCAAATGTGTGGAAACTGGTGATTTCTTCTCAAAATGGGGAAAAAGAAACACCTAAGATCTAAGGACCAACCCTCCCACTTTAGATAGATAAAGTGGGCCGCTTCCAGGGGAAGCGGGGACCAGGTTGGTGAGGAGAGACGCCTAGAGCCCCTCTGCAAACGCTGTGAGCTTTCCAGGGTTCTCCTCCAAGGGGCACCGCCCGGGGTCAGAGCCAAGTCAGACCCAGCGGGATTTCGCTCCAGCTTTGGGGCCACTGTGAGCTGCGGGACTCAGCAAGTTATTTCCTGCTTCAGATTCCTGGTCCTGCGCTGGGCGAGTGTTAGCGGGGAGTGACGATTAGGAGTGTCAGGAGTGTGAGGGCCGTGGGCTGCCTGCGGAGATAGCCCCTGCCCGGGAGCATTGACACTGAGACGTCTCAGCAGCAAGGGGTAAAGGCCACGACCTTCAGCCTCAGGGGCAGTTCTCAGTCACACTGTCGTGGTGCTGGCCCGGCAACTCCTTGTATTCCACTGGAGACAGCTTCCTGTATGCCTCTTTGGTCAATTTTTTTTTTTTTTTTTTGTCTTTTTGAAACAGGGTCTTGCTATGCAGTTCGGGCTGGCCTTGAGGTCACTTTATAGCTGAGGCTGGCCTCGAATTCACCACAATCCTCCTGCCTCAGCCTCCTGAGTGCTGGGGTTACAGGCGTGCACCACCACGCCCAGCTCTTGGGTCAGTGTTGGGAAATCCAGAGGTTGCTTTTTATTGGAAAATAAAGTACTGGTTCCTGAGCTTGGGTGTTTCTGCACAGAAGCTGCTGTCAGTGCGGGTGAGGAGCAGGCTGGTTAGCTAGACTGGTGAGGGTCCTGACCCAGGGAGTCAGAGTGCCTCGCGTGCCCACCCGTGCCAGGCACGTGCCTCCGAGCTGTCTGATGGAGGCCGGTTTTATTTTTATTTCCAACCAGCAAGGGGCAATGTTTTTGGGCTGTGTTGGCATGGCAACGGTTCTAACTGCCCCCTTGTGCATTACCTCACCGACCAGCAAGGGTGCAGGGCAGGGCTGTGCACGGCCTCCCTGCTTCCTGAAAACCAGCTCTTCCAGCTGTGGCCCTGGCATCCAGACCTGAAACAACACATGCCAGGCCCCAGCGCCCTGCAGGGGAGGTGGATGATGGTGCCGTGGTTTGCTCTGAGAGCAGAGAAGAAGGCAGAGGAAAAATAATCATTTTAGACTCTTGGGTTGGTGTTGCTTAATTATAAAAGGAAGAGGAAATGTGGGCCAGCATTAGGTTTAGATGTGAGTCAGCAGAAGAACTGCAGTGATCATAGTTTTTAAACAAGATCACCCTTTATGCGGTACAGCCCCTTAGATGCGTCCTAGCCTGGCCCCGTGTGCTCTGCTGTTAGAATTTTGGGCGGGGAGAAGGAAACTATATGAGGTTCATGAATACTCAGCAGCTCCGGTGTTTCTGGGCGTCCTGTCTATCTCCCCCTCTTTTTTTTTTTTTGTTTTCTCCAGTGCTGGGGATCAAGGCCAGGGCCCTGCCCTGCTAGGCAAGCGCTCCAACCCTGAGGCCATCTCAGCCCCGTCTGGCGCCCTTTCTCTGCCTGGTTTTGTCAGCAGACAGAGCCTGCTGCTTCTCCAGCGTCGGATTAAATGAGCCTCTGGCTTAAACCGCAGGGATTCCTGGGAGGGCGGCGCTGCAGGCCGCGTGGCCCGGGAGAGTGGGCGCAAAGCTTAGCAGTCTGCTGCTCCCTGGGGGCGAAAGCAGCGTGGCCGACTCCTGCGGGAAGAGCTGGGGCTAGCAAACAGCCCAGAGAGATCCCTGCCTTCTCGTGATGTAAGTCGTGCTTCAACAGCAAAACAAAACCCAAACCAGATAAACCGCTTCAAGTTCTAAACAAGAAATGAAACCCAGCAAACTGCATCTCAGCCCGCAGCTACGAAAAGGCAGGCAGGGTCCTCCCGTGAAAGGCCCAGAGCCGCAAAGCTAACACTTTCCCCTCAAAGCTGCAGGAGCAAGAAACACTGCTTACAGGGTTCTAACATGGAAAAGTAGCCCTGTTCTGAAGTATGTGTTCAAGGGAACTTTCTCTTTTAAAATTACATGATGAACCAGACGTGGTGGTACGTAGTACTTGCCTGTAATCCTAGCTACTTAGGAGGCTGAGGCAGGACGATGATGAGTTTGAGGCTATACCATTGCAACTTTGCAACCTAGTGAGATCCTGTCTCAAAACAAAAAAGATCTGGAGGAGCGGCTCAGTGGCCAGACACTTGCCTTGAGTGTGCAAGGCCTCGAGTAGTGCAAGAAGAAGAACTGCATGACAGGAAGATGTACAGATGTGTAAGTCTCTCCTCATGGCTGTTAAAGCTGGCAGTTTTCCCAAAGCCAGACTTACACTAAGAACATTATTTACTAGGGAAAATCTGTGCAGATTCTGCAAAGTGATATTTGGCTCAACAAGTTTAAAAACCACACACATATTCGGTTACACAGAGCAGAGCGCTGAGCGTCCTCCATCGTGCAGAGGAAGGAGCTCAGCGTGTTGGTGTTCTGCTCAGGGTAAAGAAACATTCACACGTTAACGGAAGGTCGAGTTCTCACGATCTGAGTCGGGAAGGAACTTCTGGGTGTTTCCCATTGCTGAGAATTAAATTGTCCTTTAGCCATGCTGTGAGGATTTAATGCCCGGTGGGCAGGGACCTGCGAGGGAGAGGAAGAGATGTCCTTCCAAGCCTGGCAATGACAG